CCCTAATCTAAGTTATACAGTTCTAGAGATGCTTCAGTATTCTGTGGGGACTCCATGTTGGCACCTGCAAACTGGTGAATCTGAAATTTGCTGGCATGGCCCTTTTAAGATTGAGTGTTTTGTGTTGACCTTTGTCTTGTGTGTGGGCTCTAATTTCTTGCAGGTTCTCTCCTTGAACCAACGATTATTTACATGGTGAGATTGTTTCTCACAATTATAGGTTTCAGAGTAGCAGCCGTGTTAGTCTGTATCCGCAAAAAGAAGAACAGGAGTACTTTGTTAGTCTCTAAGGTGCCACAAGTACTCCTGTTCTTCTTTTTTCTCACAATTAAAACACATGTTTGAGTGTTCTCCATATTGTGCTTTTTGCATGACCCCAATGTGTGTTGCTTGGTTTTTTTGATACTGTTGCAACTTTCTGGCATCTTTAATAGAAATCTCCATTGCTGCTGGTGGTAAAACAGTAGCACAGTAGTGAGATTTGGGGCTTATAACTGGGGAACCCACTTGAATGACTTTGCAGAGGCCCCCCAACTTTGTAAAGGTGGAACTGAATGCCCCATCGGCCACTGAAATATCCCTACTCTTCCACAGCATAGGTCCAATATATATAGGACCTACAATGAAACTGGTAAATGGAATGTGTAAAACTGTCTCCTCAGTACTCTCTCATCGTATATTTCCCAGTATGTTTGCAAAACCATCCTATTTGTGCACAGTGTGCACCTATAGCACTAAAGTTAAATATCTGAATTTTGTCAGCACATTTCAAAAACAGGGTAGTAATTGAGGATAGGGCATAATGGCTACTTGTTTATTACATTTCTGAAGAAAAAAAAAGTATTAGGTTCACATGAAAATCACATTGTGTTTTATCTGCTTTAGAGGTAGTCATGTAAACTGTCTATAAAATGATAGTTCATTTCCTGTCATGGTCATATCCTTTTCATTTTTAGAGAGATATGAAGCATCAAGTCTTGCAACTGTGCCCATCTCATTTATCTTCCAATTGTTACTGGCTTTCTGACAGGGCTGGAAAGTTTATTCAAATTTCTAAAATGTAACTATATGTAAAATTAATGTAACAGTCTGGTGTGCTGGCCACAAATCCTATAAATTAAATATCACAAAGTAAATAGAGGGCTGCCAATAAATATATTCCATTCAGCCCAACTCCTCCTCAGTAGCTTTAGAGAAGAGAGGAAAGAAGTTTGGGCCAGTGACTATTTTTATTGCTTAAATGAGGGTTGGGGGAGAGGGGGCAGTGCCTAGAACCTGTACAACATTTTTTTCTAGAAGATTCTTTCAAAACAAGTGCCACAGAGATGCCCCCTGGACTGCTGCAGTTCTTGGGAGGGCTGGAACCCTCCCTGTTGAAGTTACAATTTACAAGTTCTACCCCAATAACTCAAAGCAAACTTTATACAGTTCAACAAACATTGAACCCCCAAAAGGTGCTATGGAGTAACCACTAACATATAGCATTGACAAATTCCTCATCTATTAATGAGTGCATGGTATGAGTAATACAATTTTTTCTTCAATGCCAAGTGTATAATTTTAGAGGAAGTGTGTCACCCTGTTAGGGCTTGTCTGGTTTTCAGTTCCCCTCTGCCAGTATCAGGAGGATACTGTCACAGTCACCGATTGCCTCATGAAGCTCCTGCCATTCCCATCACTTCCTCTTTCACATTCACTGCCTCCTCCCCACCCCCCAAAACACCCTCTTTCTTTAATGCCATTGCTCCTGGCTCCAAGGCTGTGGCTTAGAAGGTAGTGCTGTGTCATAGGCAAAAGGAGGGTACATGCAATCAAACTGTTTGCATCTCCCTAGGCATGGCTCTAGATTTACTAGCAGCTCATTTTCCCCCATGCTTGCTTCCCTTGCCTAGCTTGCTTTTATAAATGCACTGACACGCTACCAACCCCCTTTTATCTTCTTCCCCCACTCATCCTACATGGACATGACATTGTGTTTCATTCTCTAACTACAGTGAAATCCATCCTTTCCAAAACATACATAAATGATGACAAGGCAAGGTCACAGATGGGTAAAGTCAAAAAGCACAGCATTAAGCAATACCTAGTTACAGGAAACAGAAGTCTTAAATCCTGAAAGTAGTTCACTATTTAACATGTGGTTCTACAACAAACATGGAACTGAAATTAACTTTGAGGAATTCCACAGTGGTGTTTCTATAACTTCCAGCTCTAGTTCCCACCATCTGGAAGGTGAACTATGTTCTCTTCTCTGCCTCACTCCAACTCTCCAAGATTTGAAGGTCAAGCTCTCTGTATGGGTTTTGTACCCAAATTCTTTTTGGCTCAAACCTCACCACGATACATAGTGTTTTGCAGGTCAAATTTGGACATCAGTTACACCTGTGCAACTCCATTGTTTTCTGTAGTGCTTGTATGAGTATTAATGGCCAAACTTGGCCCTCCAATTAGGAATTAGTTAAGAGTTTTATTATTGATGCACAAGCCAGAATATATGCTAGCTCACTCTCCCAGAGCTGTATTGACTTTGCAATGCACATTCGAACAGACTACAGTACTCAAAAGAGATTTAATATTGTTTGTCGCTGGAGCAGGTGAGTTTAAAAAGCAACTTTGCAAGCTTTAACTTTCTTAAGAATATATTTGACAAGATAATTTTATAGTATATAATGTACCTCTCCATTATATACTATCCAAGGTGGAAAAACTCTAATGGGGGATTGCTAAATCACAGCCTGTTTGGATGCATGCAAGCCTTAACTATTTTCACAACATAACTATTTTTCTTGTTTCAAAATAGGTTTCTTCTTCTTGCTTATCTCAATTCCTTTTCCTGTGTGCCAGTGAGGATGCAGCATTAGAATGGAAATTAACAATGTGATGTTTTAAATATTATTTTAAGGATCTCTCAGAACGGCTGCATTTAATTTGTTCCCCTTCTTGCACTGGAGGAATGTTTAAGATTTTCTGAAAAAACATGAAGTGTGAGTTACATTGGCAGGGAAGAATAGCAGAATGTTTTTTCCCATTAATGTTTCAGGCACATGTATGAGTTGATGAAAGAAGGATAGACAGTTTAGTAATGTGACTTCTTCCAAGTTCCACAGAATATCAATGTGCAAGGAACTATTTGGATATGCTGATTCAAGGTGTGACTCTCTGTATCTTTACCATTACGCTGAAATACGTTTATTGCATTTCTAGATACACACATGTACAAAAAAATACAATTTGAACACTTACATAACTTTATCATAAAAGGGGGAGAAAAAAGATACAATAGACACAGCAAATAGATTCAGGTTTTCTGTGCCCTGATTTAAGTCCAGATTCTGATATCCTCATGCACATGTACCTTTCTTCAGGAACAGTCTGACTTGATTGGGACTGCTTATGGAGTACTAAGTATTAAGGTGCTACTCAACATGACAACGCCTCTTAAATATTAGTAACTGGTGCCAGCCAGTACATTTTACACCCCATTCTCTTCCCCCTTACAGTTCAGATTTGAATTGTTTGCATTTCCCCAAGCAAATGTAACACTGATGGCTTCAAGACTTCACTGTATACCACAAACACCCTCTTGTTTGAGGCTCATTCGTACCCTACATAAATTCTAGCTAATGAACACATGCAAATACAGACACGGGTGCTTAATATAATATTTAGTTCAAAGCAAAGTGACTTTCATCTTGAGAAAGAAAAAGTTCTTGTCCACAGTTCTTCATCTAACGCCCTCATCCTCCATGTGGCAAGCCTGCCCAGCAAGAAACATTTTCTTGCTAGGCAAAGAAAGCTTAGAAGTGAGTATCCATTTGTTTTTGCAAGGCCTTATTGTTTTATAAGTAATTTAAAAGAATTTGTTACAATAGACATTTAGTGTGCAAAAGACAGAAAGAGGAACCTTTCATTGTGAAGGGTGCAGAAGGATAGCTGGGTGCATCTGGGCAGGAAATCAGCAAAATACAAATGTGAAATGGTAAAATAAATTATTAAAAGGACAAAAGAGGGGAAAAAGTTAACCAAACAGAAGATCTTTGAAGTCACTAACTTCTGGAGGAAAAAAAAAAAGTCTTGTATGAGTTCAAAGTACCAATAAATCACAATGTAGCAGAAAGCTGCTTAAAAATACTGTAGATGGAATATTGTGCATACTTTTGGCATTGCCCTCTGTTCTCAGTAGGGCTAA